GTAGGGGCAGTGATAGCCATGCTAACTCTGTAGGGGCAGGGATAGCCATGCTAACTATGTAGGGGCAGTGATAGCCATGCTAACTCTGTAGGGGCAGGGATAGCCATGCTAACTATGTAGGGGCAGTGATAGCCATGCTAACTCTGTAGGGGCAGGGATAGCCATGCTAACTATGTAGGGGCAGTGATAGCCATGCTAACTATGTAGGGGCAGTGATAGCCATGCTAACTATGCAGCAGCAGTGATAGCCATGCTAACCATGTAGCAGCAGTGATAGCCATGCTAACTATGGTGTCAGCAGTGGTGTCAAAAGTACCCACATTTGTTCGTTAAGTAGAAGTATAGATCCTGCAGTTTAAAATCATTCTGGTAAAAGTCAAAGTATCAACTTGACCTCTTTACTCAAGTAAAAGTGAAAAAGTACTACTTAAAGTATAAAAGTATAAAGTAACCTTTAAAAAAAACAGCCAGATGCCGCTATATGAACTGAAAGCTAAACTTTTCGACTATTTCTAAAAATCCTCTGAGATAGGGCCTTTCAGACATTTCAGCATCTTTTTCTGAATCCCACATTGCGACCAGTCGATCGCGAGAAGTTTCAGTCGATCGCGAGAAGTTTCAGTCGATCGCGAGAAGTTTTACAATGTAGACCTATTTATGGCTATGACAAAAAATAATAAAAATTAAAAAAAAAACACTAATCAAATCATTGAGAGGCCAACGTCTATTTTCATAATAATAAAATGAAAAGTAAAAAGAAGAAGAATCTGAAGAGATAATGCGATAATGACATCTATCCCAACTGATGGGGCTCCATCTATGGTTGGGCGCTCTGCTGGATTCGTTGCTCTGTTCAAGCTGTCTGGAACTTTCCCGGATTTTTGGATCAACCGCTGCATCATTCAGCAACAGCTGTGAATATGAATGAATATGAAGCATGTCTCTGTTTGAACCAGGAGGCGTTTATTCAGTGCCCAGCTCGAGGGCACGGAATAAATCTGCTTTTTCACTACTACTTTTACTCGAGTAAGGAGGTCAAGTCTGATCTGCTGCTGCACACAGACTTGTTCTGTATATTTATTTCCAACGTTCCACAGAACCTTTCAGTAGCTACATTCAGACCTGCCCTCTCGCTCTAGCCTCCAACCCGTGACGCCCAACCCATTGCATGCTGGGTATTGGAGTTCAAGAGCTTTCTGGCTTATAACATCACAGGAACTTTTGCCCGAAATTAAAGAAACAGTCAACAACCCATTCTACTGTATGTTACATCTTCACATCCACATAGTTTGTTCTTAGTATTTTCCTATTTTTATCTGTTTTCCTGTTGAATTTAAATCCATCTGCCAGTTTCTCTGCCAATGCAATAGTGGACTTCCCTTCTCCTTCTTTGATTGGACGGAGCACATGACGGGAAATAAATATTTAGAAACATTAAATATTTAGACATTAAACCAGGGGGAACCAATTAAAAATCAGCAGGGTCCAAATAAAGAAAATTAGGTTTATGCATTCATGCTATACACTGAATTTTTTAATAAAAAAAAAAATGTTCCCCAGATTCCACAACCTCCGCCCTGACATACGACGTGTGGAGCACTTGTGAAAACAAACATGTAAATCAATGAGAGCTGTTCCACATCCACCGCTACTCCTCCGCACGTCCCCGCCCACGTACGACTTCTCCATCCTTCACCGTCAAAATACGTTGCTGAGCTACTGTAATCTCACCAAGATCCAATTTGTTAAATTAAAATATAGTAACAACAGATCGGTAATAACTACAAATTAGAGCATAACTCTTCTATATTTCAAAAGCTAACACTGTTAGTTTAGACCTTAAGGTCATTTATTTAAAAGATTGCAAACTATTTGGTTCTTCAACAGACCAGGAAGCAGATTTCTCATCTCCATCAGAAACTGAACATATGGGGATTTTTTAATCTGTCATATGAAATTAAGTGTTCATTTCTGCATGTTTTGCTTCTAAGAATGTAATAATAATCCGTGACCTCTGCATTAAACCAAAGCCTAGAGTAATGATTGTTTTAAAAATGTAAGGAATAGAAAGTACAGATACTTGTGTGAAAATGTAATGAGTAGAAGTCAGAAGTAGGAGGAAAAATAAGCGATGGAGTGGAATATTAATACCTAAAAACACTATATTAATTAGGCTGTGTAAACTTCTTGTGACTGTTTCTGATATAAAGTCTATCAGAGAAGATCAATTGATCCTGAGTTCAACTCCTGGTTTATCTCTGCTGTCAGAATTCAACATGAAAAAGAAGTCCTTATACACGTTACATTCAGAGATACAAGAAAAACATTTAGTGAAATACCAAGATTGTGTGAAAATAATAGTTAAATTTTACCATGAAATCAACTAATTACTTAAACATTTCTTTCAACATTTGTTGTCTAAGTGTAATAAAGTAGCATCTGTTAATAAGTAATGTGGCTAATGTTCCATTTAGTTTGTATAATGCAAGTTGTTTGTTTTCAAGTTTTGTAATAAAACTGTTATTTAAGAAGTGTAATTTTGGTTTTCCACTAAAACTTTCAGTCAGACGTTGTTTCCTGATGTATAACCTCCTCCAGTTGTTGCTGTGGAAGTCAGGGAGGGGACACGGC